CATCCAGGAGCTCTGTTATGGGTAGATTGCCTTTACCAATTCTTCGTATGTAATGTCATTAGATAAGGCACAATCATCTGCATCAAGGGTGATAGGGTTACCACTAACAGCCAATTCTCTCTCAGCCCAATCTGGCGCAATTTTTTTATGAAATTCGTATGCTCATTGTCCTGCTTCGATTGGTGAAACATTGCCATGTGATTTGTTCTTAAGACATTTAATTTGATGCCATATTTGTTTCACAGGTGAATTCCAGTTTAACGTATTGCAAAAGCTCTCCACGAGTCTTCTTTTTTTGGCACGATTTAATCATTTTCGAAACTCGGTATGTTTTATTTTGTACTTTTTAGAGGAGGATGTAGAAAGGGAATTTTTTTATTGTAAGTAGGCTAATGTTCTCTCTTCCTTACTCTTAGAACAACTGTCATTCCACCATCGACTTTCCGTTCTTTTTTTTTGTCTTGAAGAATTGATTCATTGCAAGCTGTATCGATAGAGTCAATAAATCTTGACCGTAGTCTCATTTATCACGTAAAACCAGTGTCAAAATTAACTGGAACAGATCCCAATTAGCTTTACCCGCTTTCCATTTCTTATTACTTATTCAGAAATCGTGAGATGCGGTCTGGTTGTAGGTTTCAGAAAAACATTTTCTTTATCGTGCCAACGTTACGATCTTTATTGAGATCATCTTCAGGGCCTGGGATTTACAAACATTATTTACATTTAACAAATACATTTAGGATGTGGAAAAGTGAATTTATACAACGCAAAATATATTTTTTATATTCAATCAAAGTATTTCTACTCACTCAAAGTGTTTGTCTTCTGTGTAATTGTGCCATTCTTGCGTGTCGTGTGGAGAGTGCCAGTGAGATTTTGCTGTTTTATGTTTATATATGTTTGGTGTTGAAGGAGGGGTGGGGAAGGAAGTCGGTATATAAAAGACAATTTTGTGTGTGAAATAAGCCGACAAAGGGGAACAATGTGTTGGTAATAGTTCGGCCAGATTGTCCTTTTTGGATTATATATAAAGGGGATAATTAGGAAAAGGAAAGCTAAATTGTTGGACAATTAGATTATGTGAAAAATATTTGATGTGTGGAATGTAATTAATGATATATGTATATTATGTTTATATACGTTGGATTTTAAAGGAGAGGAAGGAAGTCGGTATAGAAAAGACATTTTTGTCTAAGGCGTCGGCTTCTTTGAGGTGAAAAGAGCCGACGAAGGGAAACAATGTGTTGGTAATGGTTCGGCCAGATTATCCTTTCACGATTATAAAGAAAGGGATAAATAGGAAAAGGAAAGCTAAATTGTTGGACAATTAGATTATGTGAAAAATATTTGATGTGTGGAATGTAATTAATGATATATGTATATTATCTATATTGAATTTGATTAATGATATTGGCGTAGCTGCGACTGAGTTTATATGTATCTGTTCTGTAATTGATGCTGTGTTTATCTCTTTTGATATAGACCATTTCTAAGAAATTATGTTTGTTCTGTTCTGTGTGTAATACTTTTGGATTTTTGAAGTCGAAATTGTGTTGGTGTTCAAGATGGTGGGTAGCGAGTGCTGTAGGATTTTGCTTAGGTTTTTTGCAATCATAGTTATGTTGCTTTACTCTCTTGTCCAGATATTGGAATGTAAGACCGATGTAAGTTGCCGGACAGTTTAAACAGTTGATCTTGTAGATTACTTCAGATTTATTTGTTATTGGTGTGGGATCTTTAATTTTGGAAAAAAGTGTTTGAATTGTTTTATAATTTTTGAAAGCTATTTTGAAGTTATCGGGCGAGAGAAATGTGTTTAATTTATGTGATAGGCCTTGAATTAATGGCATGGAAATGTATGCTGGTTTGTTTGTATTTGATAGGCTTAATGTAGTATTATTAGTAATAGTGGATGGTGTTAGTGTTAATTTGTAGTTGTTTTTCTGAAACCTACATCACACCAGACCGCATCGCACGATTTCTGAATAATTATCGATTAACGATCACTAATCACCACACATTTCTTATTACTGTGGCGATACTCATCGCTAGTTTTGTACAAGTCTGATTGAAAAATAATCTGAAGATGATCAGGCCCAATGGGCTTATCAAACACTTGAAATGAGTATCAATGCTTCTAGAACATAATGAAATGGCTGTATTTGTGTTTGTCGCTGGACTAGGTTAGGAGAACCATCACTGAGGTAACTAGGCCACTATTGTCAGCGATTCTACTATGGCAGTTCCTTTATTGTCGATCATACTTCCTCCTATCTCTGGGTGATGGCAATTGAAGTCACAAAGTATTAATATTGGCAGAGAAGGAATTGTTAAAGTCTATTTTTAGTCTGTTTCTTCTGGCCTTAGAGACAGATTTGACGTGGTCGGCGACTTCCTTGCCGCCCAAATGGATTAGTTTGTCTATCGTCATTGGATGTAGTCGGAAAATCCCCCCGAATTGTTGTTCTCGAGGAAGACATGAAACGGTCCGGGATCTTTCACGTTGAATTCCATTTTAGTATTCACACCGGGCAATTTTATTTTTGGTTAGCCATTTGAGTGGCAACCATGTCAATATCGTCAACATTTCTATCAGGTGGTTCTTTTTTATTGTCCACCAAACTCGTGATTATATTATAAAGTATACGTTCCCCAAATGAAAATTGATATTTTCGGTTTTAACAGAAAGCGCAGAAATAGTTGTATTTTCGCGAAAACCGAGAGATAATGTACGTCCGCTCTGGTCGGAGTTAAACAAACAATTGCTTTAAAATCTTTATTTGCAATACGATGTAATGTGAATGCACAAATCACCTCGCCGACATATATTAAAAACGTAAATTTGAGAGATTAATGCCCATTCTTTGCGCTAGAGAATTCGTATTCTAGTCCCATGGCTAATATCTATATACTAAACCTAGAAAGCCATCGACCTATTTTATTACATATGTGTCTGGTAATAAAATATAAATTAAATTTAAATCATTTAGTTTATACACCGATATGAAATGTTAGCTGCAAACATGCTCAATGTTTTATTAAAATATAAATAAAAAATAAATTGTAATAATAAATAAACGTTCCAGTTGGAGGTACAAGTACGGGAACATAAAAACAGCCCTGTTTCAATAAACGAGTCGCGTTCGTAGGACATAAAATAAGTTGAAAAGAAGAAGGGAATCCCATCAGTGATACTGAAAGATACCTTCCATACGTGACAAAAGGTCCGAATTTATTTCTTCCGGTCAAGGTGTTTTATCGGGAGTCATATTTTTTTTATAAGCCCTTATCGTTTCATAAATAATATAAAGAAAAGCTGATAGTCCTAGAATAAACTTTACACGGTGTATTTAATTTCTCAATGAATTATGGCGAATTTTTGTTTTGCTTTTGTATTATGGGCTTGATTTTTGCGTTTTAATTTTATCCGACGTGACACATTTTACGGAATTTTCATGCAATCTGAGTCTTATTTACACAAAAAACATAATAAAAACTAAGTAACAAAAATAAGTATAAAATAACTGCAGTAAAACCTGCTTAAGCAAAAGACTAACCTGGTTATGCTTATGTTGTCCGATTCGTATTTGCCACGGTTTTGAGTTCAAATTTCGAAGCCAATTAGTTTTTTTAATCGAGAATATTAAGTAAAATGTATTATGCATTTTTTGACCCCCTCTTCGTCTGCACCGATGGGTCGGTCGTTAAGCCCTCCTACTTGACAGGAATTTTTTTACTTTATTTGCAATATAATCACCGACCATAATTTAGATGGTCTTCACCATTCCCCTATTGTTGACATAATCGCACCCGCCGTTGAGAGAAAGGAATGTCGCTCTGGGGGTCCTGCTCGATGTAGAACAAGCAAGCGACAGTTTCTTATTTTCAAGTCCTACCCGGCCGACAGGTACTTTAATATATAGGTCGTCCTGTTCTCATTTGTACAAGGCAGATACGGGCGTCTCTCCGGGTAGCGTACTCGGTCCGTCAATGTATTCAGTATACACTGCAGATATACCTTCCCATAACTAATTCCCGATATCATTATCTTACTATTGTATCATTTAACTATGCCCCTTCCAGACACACTAAATTTCTTAGTACAATGGTTCAAAAAATGGCGAATTAAACTCAACATCCAAAATCCTAAAACATAACTTAACCATTCGTTGCACTAATTAAGACCTACTCCAATCTGCTATAACCTCCCCGCCCTTCCAACCAACGTAAACGACTAGCGACGTACAGGAATTCCTTTACAGGACTGGAAAGGACTGACCCGTTCTGAGGTTACCGTTGAAACACCACTAAGGCCCCGTTGCAGCAGTCACGGTTCAAGCCGGGTTCACTGGAACGTCGTTCACAATTTGAACGAAGTTCAGAGAAGGGAGCGTTGCACCATGTGCAGGGGACCGCCGTTCAGCTGATCGCTGTTCAACCAGTCGTTGGTACAACTGATTATAGCCTTTTTGTACGGTTATAGCTATGCCTCGTAGTTTTTCATTGTTTATATTGTTTGCTGTACCGCTTACCCTAGTCTTTTTGTGTTGATTTCATTGTTTTTTTTACTGTTTTTTGGAAGAATTGGACAATAAAATAGAATGTCATAAGAAAGAAACCGAGTTAAAAATGAAGTGCATTTTGGAAGAACCCAATTTAAGGATGCTTCACTTAAAAATAGAGCATGAGACACGACTTCAAGTCCTTGAACAAGAAAAGGAAATTTTAAGATCAAAAAAGAAAACAGAATAAAAACAATTGTTGCATTTTTAAAATTTATTTTGTTTGATTAATGCATTATTTTAGTTTACATATCAGTTATATTTTATTAAAAGTAGTATTTCTTATGATTAGATTATTTTAATTTACATTACATTTTTATTATTTCCTTTACACTAAATTATTATTATATAATATTAATATATTATTTATTATCTTTTATTATATATTATCTTTTATTATATGTACATATATGTCAATATAAATATTTATATACATTTTTGTATTACTTCTTTACATAACTTCTATACGTTCGATGGTGTTTCTATAAGGTATCAAAATATTCGATAAATGGAATTCTTGCGTTCCCATCATATTCCACTTCTCCAATTTGATTGAACTGAAGGTTAATAATTTGTGTTTCCACTTAATCATTGATGAATGGAATCGGATCTTTGAAAATGCATGATATATTATGCAATACTGCAGTTGCTACCACAATTGGCTCAACCAAATTAAAGTTGCACCTCATTCCAATGGCAAGTATAGGAAAGCGACATTTCCAAACACCATACGATCTCTCGGCAACGTTTCTTGTCCTAATTAAGGTCTCATTGTAGAGTATTTCCCCTCTTTTGGTTGGGTGATTTAATTTTGTTAGCAAGTATTTTTTTAGAGGATACCCACTGTCACCAACCAAAACAAGATCTTTCATATCTCCATTTTCAAATTGTGTTTTTAAGACTGAATTTCTAAAAATGTGGGCATCGTGAGTGCTACCTGGTCACATGGCAACAATGTTTTCGAACTTCAGCTCTGCATCGCAAACTGTCTGTACATTCAATGAAAAGAATCCTTTCCTGTTGCGAAACAGCTCTGCTTGATTACCACCTACAAATTAAACAGAAAAACTAGAAATGGAAAAAAGATATTTGCAATTTATTTTATACCTGGAGATTGTAAACGAACATGAGTGCAATCAATAGCACCTATGCACTTTGGAAATTTGCTGATTTTGTACATTTCAGCACAGACAGCCATTCTTCCAGCTTCGTTTTTTGGGAAATGAATGAATTCTCGCCTCAATGATGCAAGAACTCGAGAAACTCTGCGCACCATTCTACATAGATTTATGCAACCCACTGAAATCACCACAAAATGTCAAAAACGATCCTGTTGCATAAAATCGAAGTGTAGTTAGTAACATCAGTTCGGGGGAGGTAGCCTGATTTCTGAAAACATTATCAATCAAGTAAAAAAAAAAAAAAAACATTGCTATTCAAAGCTAACTAATTAATATCACTTACCTGGTAGTACGATGAGTGATTGAATTTCTTATTTTCTCTAACACGAAGTTCACTGCATTCTTTGTCATTCTGAATCTATTGAAGAATTCATCGTTATCACATTCGTGAAAATGTTCCTGTCTGGTTCTAAAAACCCTTTCTTTGTTTATATGTAGAGCTAATAACTCAAGGAAATCTTCATCATCTGTTAATTCCTCTATAACTAGATAAAAATGCGTCCATTTCGATGTATCTCAATATACGGTTAAACAACGCGCAGGTTATATTATCAAATGAACGTTGTTCAGCTCTGAACCCTGTTTAACCCGAGCTCGACGACCGTTCAGAATTGATCGACGTTCATCACTTGATCTCGGATCAATAGAGATTGAAAAACGCCGATATTTGTGTTGAAGTCCGTTCAGTACTGAACCAAGGTTAAACGAAGTTGGTGCAACGGGCCCTAAACGACAGACCTCTCTCGACTGCATAGGAAGTATTCCGACTATTGTCGACTGACGGGGACCCGAAACCAGAACGATTCGTTCGAGTCTAGAGCCGAGTGTAGTACAGACTCTAATCTGTTGAAAGACGGATCGTCTGACAACAAGTCTTAAAACCAAGAGAGTCCAGAAACTAGAGATAAGGCAGAAAGAGGCTTCATAATGTGCAGACTAATGTCGTTGAAGGTCTTCTTGGGTGTATGCATATCGTGAATCTTACCAAGTTAGAAGCTCTTTTATTATTCTAACTAATGGTGCCAATGTATATAATAGAGAGAAATGTTATAATAAAAGAGTTTCGATTTTACAATGCGCATACGTTAATTATCCTCGTCGATTATGATATAGAAAGTCCGTACCGCTCACACTTTTTTTTTTCAGAATGAAGACTTGGATTGGATCTCACTACTCCTCCACTTATTACTCTCAACAAAAGCCATAGTTTCTAACCACTCTATTGCAACCCTCCGTACCTTTCCATAACACTTAGGAAGTTTTCATCTGTTTACTACCAATTTGTGGTAGAGCCCTTCGTAAACCATTTTGTAAGCAGGTACTACCCATTAGCGATTCTTATAATATAATTATAGGCAATCAAAATGGATTTAGACATCAACATTTTCAACACTATCATCTTGTTACGAACATCATCGCACTTCACCCTATGTTCGAAGAAGGGGTTTACTTCGATTGGGAAACAACGCTCCTTACAATTCAGTGAAATTTTGCCGGAATCACTTAACCTTCCTTAATTTCATCACTTAATTTAATAACTTAATTCTTAACATTCCTAGACAGAATGGGTTAAAGGAAATTAGAAAGGAAAATACGTGCACATAAACATAAAAAATATAAATTCACTAGTTTTCGTGGTCCGTTTGACCAATTAATATCTTTCAATTAATTAAGGTCTTTAGTTGAGATACAAAAGTCAGAGGTCACGGTAGCTCAAGTGGTAGAGCAGCGCGTATCTAGCCGAAGATCGTGGGTTCGAATCCCGCTCGTGACACTGACTTTTGTATCTCAACTAAAAACCTTAATTAATTGAAAAATAACCAATATATTACAAAAATAATACGACCTGGCCAGGGTCAAGGAAAATAATATATACACTTATTTCAATGTGTCAAACCGAACCAATAAAACCACTAAACATGCAAAATAATCAGTTAAAAGAAACAATATTTTGTATTACATTATTAACGTATTAACCTAAATTAAAATAATATTATATTAATTATTCAAAATAATCAACTAAAACGAAACGATATCTTCTTTAAATTATTAAAATGATCAAATAAATTAAAATAAATCGTAAGCCAAACGCTTCACGTTCAGTAAGAAGATGTGGCGGAAAGGCCTACGGCGATGTCATCGTTCGCTCGAGGAATCGTTAAAATAATGAAAAATTTTCCGCGTGCGTCTTCGAGTCGTGTTTCTTTAGCACTGCTACGCCCTCGCACCTTCCTCGTTGTCGGCCGGAGGGATTAGGCCGCGATAAGGATGTGTTGTCCGGCCTAATCAGTTCAAAGACGACGTATACACGGTCATTTCACATTTTAACTAAATTTTTACACCATTCCGTCTCGGAAAACAGTCAGCCTAACTAATAATACAAAATAATAAATTCCTTCAATCGTAAACACCTTAAGAAGAAGGAATTCTGATTGTAGGAGCCTCTAACCTCAACACACGCCTTCAACCGTAAGTCCGACCTGGCTAACAGGTACTTTAGAGTATGGGGCATATCCTTTCTATTTTTACGCTTGAGTTCTCTAGGTATCCCATCCTTGGTCCATTCGTGTACTAAGTATACGCTCGTTGTTGATACTCTACAACCTGGAATTTTGTAATATTAATCCCCACCATCAATTTGGATTACGGCATCACTATTCTACTGTTGAACATTCTCCTCGTGTTGTGGATATCTTTGAATCCTCCCTTGAGAAGAATAGGTATATCTCGATTTCGAACAAGCATTCCATCGAGCATTTCACCTGGGTTTACTTTAGTAAATCAACGATTCCTACCTTTTACATATTTTCTCTACTTGAAGTTCTGCCTGGCCGACATGTACTTTCGAGTAGCGCCTCATGGTAGCACCATCGGTCGTTTAGGGTGCTCAATGTATGCTACTTCCCGTCCCACCGAGATACAACAATCATACATTATGTTGAGGATAATTCCTTTGAAACTTATATTCCCTTGAAAAATCGTTCAAAAGACGGCGAATCAAACTCAACACCACAAAATCCCAATACATAACTTTCACAAAAAATATTCATATTCAATGCAATACCGAAACTAATAAGGTCATATAGTTTAGAAATGTGGGGTTCAACCAAGCCTTTCGTTCTCAGAATAATCAGATCCATTGCCAACTCCTCGTTTTATGTTTCCAATACCTTCCATCACGACATAAATGCCTCCTTTATAAAAAAAAATTGCAAGATCTAGCTTCAAAATATTCCAAAATTCCTCTTATGCCAATTCAATACTTACGTGCAACAACCTTCACGTCTAAAACGACAGTGGCTCCGTGAACAGAAAGTAAGGGAGATACGATTAATGAATTCTTTAATTTAGAAGGGCATAGCTTTTTCTAATCGATTAATGTCATGAACTTCACTTATGTTCATAAATATCTAAAAATATATAAAAATTTTTGATTTGTGAAGGTCATTACAACCAACATACAACAAGTAGTATTTTCTGATTTTGTTTGAGTTAAAATAGCACAATTTTTTTAATGCCTTTTTGTTCCATATTATTATCACGTGTATGATCATTATTTTTAGGGGGAGAGGGGCCGAAAATTCCTGGTGTGACAGTGGGAGTCGAACCCACGACCGAGAGTCTTCGGCTGCTCAATTTTCCCAAAGTACTTATTTTTTTATGAATTATGTATTCAATTTGTGTTGTGTTTTGTAAGTACGAACATTTTTTACCCGAATTATTACACATTACTATTCAATGGTGATTGAGACATAAACAACGAATGACCAACTATTGTACATACCTATGTTAAAATGTATACATAAATCATTTTAATTAACATTGAAGCATAAATATACATAGGAAGTGCCGGATTTTAATATCCGTGGGAGGATGAAAACGTGTGTAATTTGTTGTGAAAATCCTGACTGACTCTCAACTTTTGCGGGGAGGCGACGAAACGTGAATATCTTTTCTACGTCTCCACTCCAAACTTTCCTCTTCAATTGCCTGCCGTCTTCAACCAATCAAATTGAGAACAATGCACGTCAGGATTGATCCGGTTGAAGGAGCTCACAAGATCTCATGGAAAAACCACAAAACACAGGGGGGAGGGAATTTTCCGCGGTTGACGGCCGGCTTTTCCTCTAATCCGGTGTTGTCCCAGGCAACCAACGTATTTTTCCCGTCAAGCGTGGTCTCATACAATCCATTCTCAAGCACCTGTCCATTTCAAAAACCTATCCAAATGATCAAAGGTCCGGCTGAAGTGTTCTGGTTTGCTATCGGTGTAGGTGAAGCGCACGTACATCGTAACGACATGTTTTCAATTTCTTCCAGTTGTTATTGAAGTTATCCTCCAATCCAAGATTTGCGGTCGATCATCGGTAGAGATCCTATTTTCTCGTTAACAATGTGTAAAACCTGCCAGATAGAAAACCCGTGAAATCGGCTACCTTCAAGCAAGCCAACCGGTATAAATTCCAACATTTTCATGTCATTACTATTTTTTTAATTTTCTTAATAGGTCTTAAAAACTATAGACAATAAGCAAACATATGTCACATTTTAAGGGCAGTTAAGGTAAATTAATATGGTAAATTGATTGCAACCGTCAGTATCTTTCCCCAACACCCTGGAAACACATGAGAAGCTTTTTTAGAATAACTCTGCAGGAAACATTAGAAATGATTTTGAAATTACCTACACAAAACAAGTTTAATGATTACATAGAAAAAATAATTATTATTATTGATAAACACGTCATGTTTAACTAAGGCTTTGGCTAACTGAGATCCATAAATAACCAAAGTAGTTAGCGCTGGTGGGAAGCATTGTTTGGCGGAGTAAGATGAAAAAAATGTCTAGTATCCAAAATGTAACACCAATATTTCACTTCTGAGGCAGTTTTTATCAGTAAGCTTGGAGTACGAGTGCCGTTCATATTCCACTTGTCTGAAGGCATTTATCAAAAAGTCTTAAGCCCGCTTGGCTGCAAATCCCCAACATTTCAGCTTAGTTACATCGGATGACACAGCGGGAAGTGAATGTTATGGTTTAGAATGGAAAATCGTTTCAAAAACATGTTTTATTTATTATTAACTAGTTTTATAATCCGACGTTGAGGATCCTTGAAGGATAATAAAGAATGCTATTTAACACATCATTTTGAGTGTAAATATTACTATTGATAGATAGGAGCATAAACATAAATTAAACGAGCGCAATTGGGTATTTGATATCAATATTTTATTTAGTGACGGAGGGTGCATTGGATGAGCTGTGTCAGTCCCAGACGGTCAGTGAGAGTGTTCGGGTACAAGGTTATTAGATGTTTTAATAAGTTTTCTTTATTAACTGATGCCATGTTTTGAATAGAAGTGGTATTATTGTTTATCAACTTGATTTTTTCTTCTTTTTTAAAGTCGAAAAAAATTTGCGAATGACTAGGGTCTACTGTCATCCTTGAGAACCGAAGGAAATTAAAGCCTAAAATTACGTCGGTAGGGAGTTTGTCAATTATTATGAAATGAAAATACCAAGACAAGGAATTAATGCTAATTTTAAGCTTTACCTTTTCATCGCAGTTGAGGACGTTGGAATCTCCTACTACGACTGAGATGTCACACTTCTCTATATTTTTTATGTTAGAGGTTGAATCTTTAATTTTTTTATATGTGTCGCGGCTTATGCAACACACGGATGCACCAGTGTCGATTAGTGCGAAATATTCTAAATTCTGGAGGGAAATTTGTAAATAGTTGTTAATGGGTGATGTTGAAATTTGGATAATTTCCTCCTGTCTCTCCGACCTGCAGACCCGATCTATTCGTTTTTTGAGGGGCTTCCTTTTTTGGGTTTTGGGTGTGGGACGTCTGTCTTACTTGCTTTCTTTACCGTGTATACCCTTTCTTGTTTTATTCGCTGTTCGGATTGATTTTTAAATGGTTTGTTCCAGTAGTTTGACTTGCCGCTATATTCGGAATGCCTTTTGTCGTTCGAATTGGTTTCT